AATGAGGGCTCTCCTTAGCATGGTGGCATTGGATACACTGTGCCCCAGGGTGTGTGAGACTGCAGGGATCTGGGGAGTGTATGTAAGTCCCGCTGGGGCGGATTATAGCTGCAGTGGCCACAGTGCAGCAGTGGGCTGGTGGCTGAATGACACATGGGGCTGAGCCGTGGGGTAGGGAGGGCCCTGTTGCCATGTGTGGGAGGGAGCTGTCAGGGTCACTGAGCCAGCCTGGTTCCTTCCCATATGCTCTAAAAATGTGGGGCAGGAACTTTTTCACCCCATTTCTTTGCTGCTGGAATTGGCCCGTAGCTGCAGACTGAAGCACGTGTTCAGCAGTACGGCTGTCACCCTGCGTGAGCTATGGGAAGCAGTTGTGCTAATCAGTTGACTGTGAGGGGAGAGAACGATGGTGGGGAAAGCTAGTTGGAAATGGCTGGACCTGCACAGCTTGCTTGCCTGCCCTCTGCTAATTAAATTGGTTATTAACCTGGGGAGGGGAAGGAGTTGGTCTCTCTCTCCCCTGTGTCCTGCTTGGGGGCTCCTGAACAGTGTTCTATCAGCTTTGCCCTGCCGGAGCCACCACTACCAGTGGGTGGTGGGATTAAGGTGACTAGCCATGCAGTTGGGGAAACAGGCCATGATGTGTTCAGTGCTGGGGAGAAATGCTCAGGCTTCCATTTCTGGCCTCAATTTCCTAGGCATTGCTGCTGTTTCAGGGGAGTGGGGTCAGGAGTTCCTAAATAGTACTTGCCAGGCTAGTGTGTGACAGGTGCAAGGCAGTATAGCAGGCCAGGATATGGGGGTGCAGAGTGACTAGAATAGTGCCATCAAACTCAAGTAACGTTCCCTCTGGATCACACAGGACAAGCTTCCCCCCTCTACCCAGCACTCAGTGAATGCTGGTTTGCCCCGTGCAAAATGCAGCAAAGACCTCTGCCACATTTTGCAGCTGAGGCAGAATACTTCTGGGAATGGATGGGCCAGGTCAGCACTTGGATGGGGGACTGTCTGGAAGGGAGGTGCTCAGTAGGGTGTGCTCTTCCGCTGGAACTTGGCTGGCAACAAAGCATCCCATGCTTTCAGTGTGGTAACTGGTACAGATGGGAAGACTTTTGGCAGCTTCAGGGACAGAGATGGGAATTAGGAGCCAGAAGTCCTGGCTCCCACTGCCCCTCCCCCCAACCACTAACCCACACTCCTGAAACATAAAAGCTTGGTCTCACTCTGCTGCAATTGTGAAGTTTTCTGGGTGCCTTCAGAAATAGTTAAGCCTGGGGTGTTGGGCCTGGTCCCAGCAGAACAGCTCTAGCCTGTCTCAGGCTTTCCCCTAGGCTGGTGGGGGAATTCCCCTTCTCAGGGAGTGGAAGAAAGTTGTCCCCTACCACATAGCACAGGGAATTTTCTTTGTCTCTAATCTGCCTTGTGGAAGGGATGCGAAGGCACTGTATTAACAGCACACAGGCACCATTTCTGGCATGTCATGGCACTTGGTAAGCAGGCCTGGCCTCTTTGCTCTGCTGTGGGTGAACCTAGGTCAGTGATGAGTCATCTGGTGCCCTCCTCCACGCTGCTGGGGGGGCAATCCAGGCCTGCTGCCAGTGCCCTGACTTGCTGTCTTAGGGGAATCTGTGAAATTCAAATTACAGGGGGAGGGGAAGGAGCTTTGAAGAGAGCTAGAGAACAGGTACTGGGACTTGCCTACAATGGAGGAACCAGGACTCCTGGGGTCTTCTAATTCACACTTCATTCCTGAGTGAGTGCCAGAGGGGCAGATGGTGCTGTTAGCTCCACAGTGGAGTACTTGGGAGGTGATTGCCCCAGATGTCACATGAGCCAGTGGCAGAGCTGGGTAAAGAAGCCAGGAGTCCTGGCTCCCTGGGCACTCAGCTCTGAGAACAAAGTCTGACCTCATGAGTTCTTCACTCAGGGTGTCTAGGCAAATCTTACTAGTTAGGTAGCAGGGCTTGGCCTGCTGAGGGAGGGCTGTCTAGCTGGACTTTGTGTGTCCCCGTCCCCCCCTCTGGGCCAGTGACTTTCACTTGCGCCCCCTCCACATGCTGGGGCACAGGCTTGCTCCTGGCAACCTCACCTGCCTGGGATTGATATTTGGGGGCATTGGATTTCCCATCCTGAGGGTTGGTGGGGCTGTCCAGGATGTTACCCCTCCTTTGCTAAATGCTTCTTCTGCATGCACAGTCCTGGGGATGCTTTCTGGGGGAGGGGAAATCCCCTGGGCAGAAATGACTGCTGGGGAAACCCAGGCAGCCTGCCATGTGCTACTTTCAGGCCCTGTCTCTGTCCCCCAGCATTGCATTAGGAAGATACAGGATTCTCTGGGTGGGGAGGAGGGGGGACTGGGAAAGGGCTGACACAGCTCCTGGGCAAGGACACCAGTTCTGCTGGCCAGGACGTGATTAGGGATGTAATAGTGTAGTTGATTAACCGATAAGCAGAAGCTTATAGGTTAATGCTATAAACTCTACACATTTCCCTGCCCCCCTTCCTCCTGCCAGTAAATTTTTTAGCAGGTTGGCCAGCAGCCTGCCTCAGTCCCAATTTGCACTGGGCCCAGGACCTACCCCTGCAGCAGCTCTGCATTTAAAGTGTATTAGGTGCAAGGCAAGCAGGCAGCCTGGTTCAGTTCCAGCTCATGCTGGGCCTGGGACCTCTTTATTAGAGGCAACAGCACAGGGTGACAGGCAGTTGGTCCATAAGGGGAGCTGGTTTTTAAACTGTCTCCCCTTGTGGGTCAGCTCCCCCCGGTATCTCATTCTGCTGCCTCTGATACAGTGACAACAGTGCAGAGTGGCAGGGGGCTCCTCAGGAGTGAGGCCAGAACACACTGGCTGCCAGCTCCACCCCCAGGAACTATAGAATAGTCAACTAACCAATAAGAATTCATTAAGTTATTCAACTATTCAAGTAACCAATATTGAACATCCCTAGATGGGATGGTCACTACGCTTGCTGTGGGAGAGTTGGGAACCAAGCTAGGGATGTAGAATCCCGTTTAATTGGTTAACCAATTAATGGGGTGGGAACCCTGCTCCAGTCCCCCTATCTGTGGAGGCCCCCCCTACCTGTGATGGGCGTTGTGGGTCTGGAGCAGCCCCCTGCCTGTGATGGGCAAGGGCTGCTTCAGCTCCTACCAGTTAACCATAACTGGTCAGGTGAGGCTTACTGGTTAACCATTAACATACATACTCCAGCATAGCTGTGGGCTCCAGTGTATTAGCACCCATCCAGGCCAGCCTTGCACCACCCCTCCTCCTGCTAGTGCCTCTCACTCCAGACCCACTAGCCCCAGCTCTGCAGGTGACCCTCACTTCTGACTTGCAGACCCCCATTGAGATCAGGACTATAAATAGCTCAGGTGAGACCCCAGCAAAATCGCCTTCCTTCTGGCCTGAAGCTGGCAGGCACACACGTGAAAATGTAAGAACTAGTGCTGTGGGCTCTGGATTGCGGTGGATCCCTGGGGTCCTGCCTGACTTCAAACTTGGGAATGCAGCAGCACCTGCCTCCAATCGGCCTGGCATTTACATCCTTGGTTGGGGGGGGAAAGGGGCTCTCCTGTCCTGAGACACTGTGGCCTCTCTCCCAGAGCTGGACCCTCATGGGGAAGCTGCCTGGTTTGCCCTACATCTGGTGGGATTGAGAGAGAGTTATGTGGACAGGCCACTCTCCCTGTATTAGGGCTGTGCCTTCCCCATCTGTTCTTGTGGCTCCCAGGTTGGACAGAATCAGAAGCATGTAGAGGAACTGGCCTATGCAGCCAGTCTGCAGTTGTAGCTAGGCCCTGGCTTAGGGAATGCAGGGGTGCATCTGGGTCTAGTGTGGGAGTTATAGCTTGTTGCTTGTCTGGGGGAGGCATCAGGGGCCAATTTAAAGCCTCCAAGCTGGGTTCGCTGCTGCTGCACGCTTTGTTCCATCCTCTGTGTATTTATACTAGGGGTGTTACAATGTATTTAGGTAAATGTGTACTCTCTGAAAATTTCAACAGTTACACATGGACTTCCTGCATGCCTCCTCCCCCTGCGCTGCTGCCTCTGTATCATTGCAGTGGGGGCGAGGGTTGGGGGGAGGAGGGTGGCAGCAGCTCCCTATCCATACTGGGAATCTGTGTGTAACCGTGAAGGTTAACCGATGAGCCCAGGCTCGTTGTAACAGTGTACAGGGTTACACTTTCACGTGCCTAGTATAGACTGTGGGTCAGGGTAGCATCCAACATTGTGAGGGGCCTAGAAACTGAAGGATGTTGTCTGTAACCCCTGGTGTAACCACGGGGGGAAGGGATCTCAGCTGGGGTCATATGGTGCTTCCATAATGTCCTGCAAATGCTCTCCACTCTAATCCTGCCTCCTCCTGCAGTTCCCCTAGCATCCGATCACCATGGCCGATGATTTGGACTTCGAGACGGGAGATGCTGGTGCCTCCGCCACCTTCCCCATGCAGTGCTCGGCCCTCCGCAAAAATGGCTTCGTGGTGCTCAAGGGCCGCCCCTGCAAGATCGTGGAGATGTCAACCTCCAAGACTGGCAAGCATGGCCATGCCAAGGTATGGGGCTCTGCCCCACTCCAGCCTGCTACCCCCTTGCGTGTGTGGGGGTGGGGGTGGGGGTG